GCCTGGCCTGAGCATCTCCTCTTGGGTCTGTCCAGGACAAGCAGTGCTCATGGCGCAAGCTGGTCTGCATGGATGCGCCCCGAAGGGCCGCGGAGGCGAGGCTCCCTGGAAGCTGATGTCTAAAGAGGTAGGTGGTTTGCAGGGGGAGGCCGGGGCTGAGGCGTGTAGCTCAGAGCTGATTCGGTGCAAGTTCTAAATAGGAAGCTCAGAAGCCCTGCGAGACCACGCCTGCGCCTAAGAAGTCCCACTGTCTGTCTCTCTCATAGTCGCAGGCACACCCTCCCCCCACACACACCCCTACAATATCAGAGGGCCATCAGAAATCCATTGCAATATCACTGTCATAAATAATAGCCATGAAGATGAATAGGTCAATTCGGGGCACCGGCTGGAACCCCGAGCCCTAGCCCGCAGGCCGGGACCCTGTCCTGGTGTGCGCACCTGGATCTGCCCCCCAGGCCTTGCTTGGGGGTGCCCGGCAGCACGGTGGGAGTGTGCCAGGCACAGCTTCCAACTCCCTGTAGGCAATCGCATTTACAGGCATAGATGGTCCAAAGACCCCAGGCCAGGAGACCTGTTCAACAGGAAGAGCAGCTAACCCACATCTGAGCGGTTGGCCTTACTTGGTTTACAAGCCTTACGTCTTCTAACCTTGTGAGGCTGCTGTTATTAAGTCTCTTATATGGACGGGAGAACTGAGGCCCCGAGACTGTAAGTGGTCCAGGGTAAAACAACCTATAAGCGACGGAGCCCACCTGACTCCAGAGCCCAAGACCTTTCCATGAGGCCACCCCGTTACCGACGTCCCAGTCCAGCCATTACCCGTCCTCCTTTGTGCCCTTGCTCCAATTCCCGGAACTTTGTTATTTTCTTTATTAAGTCTGGACATCTTCGCCTGGCATCCAAGACCTGCTGTCCTCTGGCCCCAGCTCCCCAGCCTCACCTCTGTATTTTAGCAATCTGGCCGGCCAGCATTTCCAAACTGACCTTCAATTCCTGCCTTATCACCTCTGCACTTTCGACTGCGCTGTGTCCTCTTGCAGCCAGAATCGAACCCTCTCGGGGAAGATGGGCTCCACCTCACTTTCACTGCAGCGGCCACCCCAGCTCCATGGCCGCTCCTGGTCTGAGCTGCTGGCGTTCATCGGGACACATTTATGGGAACCCATCTTCCCTTTAAGGCTGTTTGCTGGTCACAGGCATGATTGTCTCTCTAGACCATGGATCTGAGGGCGTCTGTGATGTTGTATCTGAAGCACCTAGTTAATTGGTGGGAGAGAGTGGGGAGGGGTTGCCAGGTTGCAGAATGGAAGGGCTTGGCGGAAGCTGAGGGCACCTGTGAGAGCCTGAGATGTTGAGGAGGGGGCTTCTCAAGACAGAGGAGCATCCAGGCCTGTGGAGGGTGGGCCACCCTGAGTGGAGAACCAAGGTCTCATGGAACCCGTGTCTGTGTCCCGCAGGAGCTGGAGAAGCAGTACAGCCCCAGCAGATGGGTCGTCCGACGGGGAGCGGAGGAAGCCATGAGGACCTACTCACAGATAGGAAAAGAGGGTAGCAGGGACCTCTCCGTGGCCACTTTGGGTGGACTTTAGCAGTTGGCTGTGGTTTGGGATGCACAGGGTGGGGGGAGGAGCCGCGGCACAGCCCAGGCTTCAGGGCGGTTCCCAAAGCCCAGGCACTGCGGAAGCCGCCTCACAGGCTCAGGTCCGGTGCCAGGGAGCCCTGGCTGCCCCATTGCCCTCCCACTCAACCAACCGTGCCCAGGCCTTAAGGCCACATGACACAGTGGCACTGGGAGGGGAAGTGAAAAAAGAAAGGCCTCATTTTTTCTCCAAAGAAATCAGGGCTTTGGGGACCTGCAAGCTGGTGAAGTGTCCAGGTTCATTCCCATCCCTGTCCCGTGTTTGCAGAGCTCTGCCCCATCGTTTTAACGCTGGTGGAGCACTGGGCTGGGCTGGGAAGCAGGCTTCAGGGGGAGATGTGAGCAAGGAAGCAGCCAGCCTCTCCCTTGGTCGGTTGGGAAAATCAGATGTTGGCAAATCTGCTTCGTTTGAGCGGACCGATCGGAGTTCCCAGGGCTGGTGGCTTCTCCAACGTGAGATAACCCAGCGGGAGGCACAGGCTTTGGGGGCCTGTTTTAGCACCTGCCCTGTCCCCTCTTGGGCTCTTCAGAGCTCCCTGCCATGCCCAGCTCTGTGCCAAATGCACCTCTGTTTGCTCAGTAAATATTTGAGTGGGCAGAGGCACCTGCGTGAGTTTGGAGAAAATCTGTTGTCTCTCTCCCTCGTCTTGGGGAAGAGCTAACCCTGTTGAGAAAGGGAGTCGTAAGCAGCAAGAGCCGAGACCAGGGTGCTGCCGTCACCCGCAGAGACTCTCTCTGAGGAGCCGCTCTCCATAGCCCTGTGGTCAGCTTTCAGTTCTTCCTCCCGCCTCCCTTTCCCGATGCCCCGGCTGGCCCCGAGGTGCCGCGGGTGCAGCAGACCCTTCTCATCTACGAGCAGCATCTTCGTTAGGGCCAGGCGAGTGAGCAGAGCCAGGCCTGGGAGGGTGGAGCCTGTCTCTACTTCAAATGCTGACATTTTGTCCATCGGGGACTTTTTGTGGCATTAATTTTGATTTTAAAAATATAGCTCTAGCCCGGCCGGGCGTGGCTCAGTAGTTAAGCATCGACCTCGGATCCAGGCGATCAGGGTTCGATTCCCGGTCAGGGCAAATGCCTGGGTTGTGGGCTCCATCAATGACTCTCTCAGCATTAATGTTTCTATCTCTCTCTCTCCCTCTCCTTTCCTCTCTGAAATCAATAAAGATATATTTAAAAATAAGAATAATAAAAAAATAATAAAAATTAAAATGTAGCTCTAGCCCAGCTGGCGTGGCTCAGCATCAACCTATGAACCAGGAGGTCACGGTTCAATTCCCAGTCAGGGCACAGGCCCCAGCTGCGGGGTTGGATCCCCAGCAGAGGGTGTGCAGGAGGCAGCCGATCAGTGACTCGTCATTGGTGCTTCTATCTCTCTTTCCAACTCCATTCCTCTCTCTGAAATCTATTAAAAAAATTTTAAAAAAANGAATAATAAAAAAATAATAAAAATAAAAATGTAGCTCTAGCCCAGCTGGTGTGGCTCAGCATCAACCTATGAACCAGGAGGTCACGGTTCAATTCCCAGTCAGGGCACAGGCCCCAGCTGCGGGGTTGGATCCCCAGCAGAGGGTGTGCAGGAGGCAGCCGATCAGTGACTCGTCATTGGTGCTTCTATCTCTCTTTCCAACTCCATTCCTCTCTCTGAAATCTATTAAAAAAATTTTAAAAAAAGGAAAAAAAAGACGTGTAGGGTCCTCCTGATCCTGGAGGACTGATAGAAGAGACACCAGAGAGCCTGCCTCCCCAGGGAGGGAGAGGGCTCAGAGCTCGAGCAGTGAATGTCTGTGGCCCAAGCCGCCCGCTCTATGGCATTTGTTACAGCGGCAGGAGCCAACTAAGGCTGGAGCCCCGGGTGGATTTGAGCTGAGCACCTACAGGACGTGGTGACTGTCACACATGTGGCCGGCGGGCATGCTGGTGGAAGCCGGAGGGCCGTGAGGGGCTGTTGCTGCCGTCCAGGGGAGAAGCCAGGGCGTCCAGGGTGGTCTCGGTGGGGTCAGGAGGAGACTCGGGATTTAGGATCAGCTCGGGGATGGGGGTGGGGGCAAGAGAATTCCTTGAGGATGGATCAGTTTGTGGTCTGTTTGTCCTAAGCAAGTGGCCTGACTGGTTTAAATAAATTAATATGCAGCCATGGGATGAAATACTAAGGAACTGTTTTTAAAAAAGGAAAGGCTGAAGAAGCTGTCTGTGTACTGACTGGGAGAGCTCTCCAAAAAGCCTTTTTTGGTTAATCCTCACTGGAGGATATTTTTTTTTTAGAGCTGTTATGTCCGAGAATCAGGTCCCCTATGCGGCGGAAAGACAATCACTCCAGAGCTGATAATGTACAGGGAAGGAAGCCAAGCCCTTGTCTTCACAGAGCTTATGTTCCAGNGGGAATTCTGACTCCAACCCCGATCTAAATTTCCCACAAGCTTATATAGGGCTACAGTGAGCAAGCGATCANGCATTGTCAGTTACAAAGTTATATGGGTAATAAATTCTTTAGGAAGGGTGGGCTCAGGATGTTTCTCAACCACAGGCACCTGAGTAAGTTACATGGGTTATAAATTCTTTAGGAAGGGTGGGCTCAGGACGTTTCTCAACTACAGGTGCCTGAAGCTGGAGTGCACCTGGTATTCGTCAAACCCACCAATTTAAGTTAATTCCTGGAACTGCCTCCACCCTCTGCAGTTTACTGAGTCACTCATGTATGCCTTTTGTCCGGACCCGGGGCCTAGGGGCCTGCCTCTGTCTTGGTGGGTCCTCACAGAGCAAAAGGGAGGGGGAGAGACAGAAACATCTACGTCCCGCCGATGGGGGCCAGGGATCGCACCTGCGCAACTGAGGTACCTGCCCTTGGCTGGAATCAAACCCCAGACCCTTCGGCCGGAGGGCCGACGCTCTAACCGCTGAGCCAAACCGACCAGGGCTTGCACACGGTTTTTTAAAGTCTCTACCATGTATCGGGTCCTGGGTGTACAGGGAAGGAAGCCAAGCCCTTGTCTTCACAGAGCTTATGTTCCAGGGAGGGCGACAGGCAGGCCACGAGCCAGAGGAAACGTGTATCGAGCATGAAAAGTGAGGGGACGAATAGAGCAGGGGTAGGAGACATACCCCAATGTAGTAACCGGTATAACCCGCCCTCCCCCAGCTTCGCTGTGGTGTTGTACCCAGACCTACAATTCCCTTAGTTCGCTTCAAACCCTTCCTCTTTCTCCAGTGCCAGCTGACTTTCACAGCCCTCTGACCTCTCCCATCTGGATGCCCAATTACACACACACACACACACACACACACACACACACACACACACACACACATCTATACATTGTTTCATTCTCTGTTTATTTCAAGTGAGTTTGTATCACGTTTCCCTAGAAGACTGCTTTTCTAAATACTTGGAAAAGTTTCTACTTCCCAGAGCGTGTAACAAAGTGTAACACACAGAATAAGCATGTTCTAAAGTTGTGATCAAACCGGTGCCTCTGACCCTGGCCAGTTTGCTCAGTGGTTAGAGCCTTGACCCCCAGGCTGAAGGGTCTCAGATTCGATCCCAGCCAAGGGCATGCACCTTGGTGGGGGGCTCAATCCCCGGCCCTGTTGGGGCACGTGGGGGAGGCAGCCAGTCGATGTGTCGCTGTCACATCGCTGTATCTCTCTCTCTCACACCCCCCTTTCCATTCTCTGAAAAAGCAATTCAGAAGCTCACTCACAGGCAGACGTCCACAGATAGTGTCAGTCCCATGGGCCAGTCTGGTCCCTTTGTGACCACACACACACACGTGGTGCTCAGAGCCCACAGGCCCATGAGGACCCGGGGAAGCATTGGCAGCTGGGGCTGGACTGGTCTGGTCAACCCAAAGGGGCTTTTAGCAGAAAGCTTTCTACCTGAAATAAAATAGGAATTGTGTTCCCCGAGCTCACGCTGACAGTTACTTGTCCTTTTCCCGAGACAGCCACCAATAGGGCCCGGGCCACCCGGAGGAGCCTGCTGGATGTCCCCTATGGAGACGGTGAAGGGGAGAAACTGGACATCTACTTCCCCGAAGCAGCGTGTGAAGGTGAGCAGAGGGGCTAGGGTGCCTCGCAGAGCTCGGCTGGGTGCCAGGCCTCAGCCCACACCCCGTGTTTTGTCTTACAGCCTTGCCTTTCTTTATGTTCATCCACGGAGGATACTGGCAGACTGGAAGGTGGGTCAGCAGATTTGGATGAGTAGAGACAAAGAGAGGCTCATCTTTACCTGGCCCATCAGTTTCCTGGGGCTGCGGCAGCAAAGACCACAAACTGGAGGAGCTTGCGACAACGGGAATGTATCCTCTCACAGTTCTGGGGCCGGAGCCCTGAGATGGAGGCATCAGCAGGGCCACGCTTCCTCCCAAGGCCCTAGGGGAGGGAGGACCTGTCCTTGCCTCTCCCTGCTTCTGGTGGCTCCAGGCATTCCTTGGCTTGTGGCAACCCGTTGGTTGCCAGGTGACATTCTCTACATGTCTGATCTCCTTCAGTTCTCAAAACCAGCACCTGAGAGGAAGAGCCTAATTACACAGATGAGGAAACCAGGCTTAGGGGTTAAATGAAGACCCCCAGGTCCTGTAGCTCTCGCATCATGTGGCGAGGACAGAGCCTACCTTCTTAACCACACTACACGGGGTCACAGAGGGGTGGTGCTCCAGGTGGACAAGGCACAGGAGCAGTGTGGTGGCTGAGTTGCCATCGGTTGTTGCATTTTTGTCTTTCTGCAGTAAAGATGAATCGGCCTACATGGTCGACTCGCTGACAGCGCAGGGAGTGGCCATGGTGATAGTGGGTTATGACATTGCCCCCAAAGGTAAGGAGAGTGGTCTTGCAGGTTCGGGGGCTGGTAGGCTTTGGAGGGGAGCGGGCCCCTGACGGAACCGGACCTGGTGCATGCCCTCTGCAGGTACTCTGGACCGGATGGTGGACCAGGTGACCCGGAGCACCATGTTTGTGCAGAAGCGGTATCCATGCAATGAGTGGGTATCGCTGCAGGGTTTCCTTCCATCGGGAGATGCTGGGGGCAGGGGGAGGACACTGGGTTCAGCCCCTTCAATGCAACCCAGCTGCCCTTCTGGCCTGTGGAGCAGGGGACAAACTGGGACTCCTTGATGCTGGCCCGATGTTTGGGGAAGCTGAATGCAAACCCAGTTCCCTTCTCTGACCCACACCAGGGGGATCTACCTGTGCGGACACTCAGCCGGAGCCCACCTAGCCAGCTGGATGCTCCTGGTTAACTGGACTGAGCGAGGAGTCACGCCCAACTTCAAAGGTTTCCGTGGGGCCTGCAGCCTGGCTGGGCAGACTGCACCTCCCCCACTGGGCCTGGGGTCTGCACCAGCTGCTTGACATCCCAACAGCGAGCTTGGCTTGACCTGGGGCCTTCGAGGCTGTGAGCAGGGCCTGTTTGCTGCTTCTCTGCCCCTATTCTGGTCTCGCCCCCCTGGCCCTGGAGCCTGGGCTGGCCCTGTCTTGCCCATTTGGTGCCTGCAGGAGACCTAGTCTGGACAGAGTGATGGCCCCACTTGTCTCGGGGTCTCTGACTGTTTCTCCTTCCCAGGTTTTTTCCTGGTGAGTGGGGTCTATGACCTGGAGCCCGTTGTGTACACCTCTGTGAACGACCCTCTCCACATGACCCCGTGAGTCCCTCCGTCCCCCCACTGGCCGGAACCTGGAAGGGGTGCAAGGGTGAGGCCCAGTCTCCTCGCCTTCTGACCTGCCCCGCCCCCTGCACCAGGGAGGATGCTCAGAGGAACAGCCCACAGTGGTACCTGGAGACAACGGTCACGCGGCCCGCGGATCCAGCCTGCCCCGTGCTGGTGATCGTGGGCCAACACGATAGCCCCGAGTTCCACCTTCAGTCCAGGGAGTTTTATCAGGTACCCAGGGCACCCAGCTTTGGGCTGGAGGTTGAGGGGCATGCAGTCTCAGGATCCTTCCCTTTGCTTCCCCTGAATGGCCCAGCCCATCAGCCACCCGTTGGGCAGATGCTCAGGGTGAGTGCCCTCCCTGCTCTCCTGTGGCCTCAGGCTCCCCCTTCCTCCCGTCTCCCACCCAGACGCTGTGCCGAGGAGGGTGGAGAGCCTCATTCGAAGAACTCCACGACGTGGATCACTTCGAGATTGTCTGGAAACTAACCCAGCGGGACTATGTGCTCACGCAGGTGGGGCATGTCCCCTACTGAAGAGGACACAGGTCCTGCCGTGTCCCCTGCGTGTGAGAGGCAGGGAAGCGGGAGCACAGAGGAGCCCCGGCTGGTTTTGGTCATCCAGGAGGTTGGGGGACCCCATGGTAGGAATCGAGGTGCCATGCTTCCCATCCTATGCTTCACCTCCCCTGAAACAGCCCCAGGCGATGTGCAGAACCTGGTCCCGGCCACACAGGTGGGGTCTGCATGGGGCTGTGGATGGGAGAGAGGCAGGTACCAGATGGTATTAGCCTGTCTGGGGCTCAGCATAAAAACAAAGCCAACTCCACATGAGAAGGGATGGGTAGATTTGTGTATAAATGTTTATTACAATTTTAAAACATATTTTAAAAAATTTTAAATATGTTTTTATTTGATTTCTGAGAGAGCAAGGGAGAGGGAGAGAGAGAAACATCAGTGATGAGAGAGTCACTGATCGGCTGCCTCCTGCTTGTCCCCGGCTGGGGATCGAACCACAACCTTTTGGTGCAGGAGCCAACACCCAACCCAGCCACGCCGGCCACGGCTGTATTACTCTTTTTAACTGGGAAAAACAAACAAACAACCCTAAAAGACATCTCCGGAAAAAACTCAGAAATAAATATTTTAGGATTTGGAGGCCGTCGGTCTCCTACACAACTATCCAACTCTGCTGTTGTAGCTCAAAGGTGGCCACAGACAATTCATAAATGAGTGAACGTGGCTGGGCTCCAGGAAACCTTTATTTACAGATGCTGAAATCTGGATTTTATATTATTTATTTTTAATTTTATTTTTCAATGATAGTTGCATTCAGTATTATTTTATATGAGTTTCAAATATAGAGCATAGTGGTTAGATAATTATATAATTTACAAAGTAACAACACACGCACACACACCCCTGTGAAATTTGAATTTTATATAATTTTGACATATCCCAAATATTTTTTGGGATTTCTTTTCAACTGTTTAAAGCCTTGCCCGGCCGGTGTGGCTCAGTGGTTGAGCATCCACCTATGAACCAGGAGGTTGCCTGTTTGATCCCTGTTCAGGGCACGTGCCCGGGTTGGGGGCTCGATCCCCAGTAGGGGGGTGTGCAGGAGGCAGCCAACCAATGATTCTCTCTCATCATTGATGTGTCTATCTCTCCCTCGCCCTTCCTCTCTCTGAAATAGATTTTTAAAAAACATATTAAAAAGCAAATAAATAAAAAACATAAAGCCTTTCTTGCCTCTTGGGTCCTACACGGACCAGGAGGTAAGTCTGCATAAGGTTGGGAACTGCATTAGAACATTCCTGAGGGGAGGGGGAACAGACTCATAAGTTGCATTTCTATGATCACAAATGCGGCCTGTTTCTTTAATCAAACTCCTCCTGGGAGAGCCTCCCCAATTCTGGGGCTTGTGTCTTTTCTTCCTGCTGCAGATTATTTTGAAAACAATCTTCCAGGAGTTCTGATGGCCCCTGAACCCCAGCCGGCGTGCACTCAACTTGCGAGGCTTCTGCAAAGGGCCTGGCCTATCCACCCTCCCAGCGGCCTCCGCTTCCCATTTGCCCACCCGCCCTGGCCAGAGCCTGTTCTTCCCAGTGCTCCGGGCAGGAATTCAGGTCTCCACGGAGAGCCCTGGTCTGGACTGAGCAGCTCCAGGGATAGTCCAGCCCAGGGCAACGCTGTGTGATGCCTGGGGCCACCTCTTGCCAAGTCTGACGCCTCTGCCTGCTGAGAAAGGTGACAAAAACGACAGCGCCTGACCTTTCACACACTTACCTCCAGCTCGCCGCCCACAACCCCTTTAAAAGAAATCAGAAATGAATAGTCTTTCGCAACAAGTAAAAATTATATGAAATTCAAATTTCAGCATCCGTAAATAAGGTTTACGAACTGTCTGTGTCAGCTTTTGAGCTACAAAGGCTGGGTAGCTGTGTCAGAAACCGGATGGCCCCCAAAGCTAAAATAATCACAATCTGGCTCTTAGAAAAGTTTGCTGGCTCTTTTGCAAGAGCTTCCCAAACCACTCCTGCCTTTTGCGCCTCTCCTTTGTCCACTTTTCCTGGGCTCCACCCGACATGTGGGTCTGGCCCTGAAAATCCCGGACTAACAACTTGACCGTGACAGGACAAGGACACCACAGGTGGACAAGCTTCCTCTGCCCCCCGCCCCCAGGGGAGTGTGCAGTCCCCAAGGAGCCAGTGGTGTCTGTCACCCACCACAACCACCACCTCTCTGCCCCACTCTGAAGAGCTCACAGTTCAAGAATGATTGATCCGGCCCATCCGACGGGCTCAGTGGTTCAGCGTTGGCCCTCCAGCTGAACTGTCCCTGGCCCGGTCGGTCGGGGCGCATGCAGGAGTCAACCGATCCATGTGTCTCTCTCACATTTAGGTTTCTCTCTCTCCCCGTCCCTTCCACTCTCTCTAAAAAACAGAAATCTGAATCCTTTCCCCGCACCCTCCATTGACATATGTCCGGAGGGGCCCAGACATCAACATGAAAACCAAAGCCAGAAGAAATCATCGATGAATATCTGCCATAAATCATCTCACAGGGGAACGGGCCTTTCTCAGCATGGCAAACACTAAACAAGGGAAAACAAGAGCCAGAAAGAAAATGCGTGATGACCGGACTGCATACAAATGTAAACATCTTACAAGGTCCAAAGACAAACAACAAACGGTTCGGGGGCGGGGGACACGACGCATGAGGTTAAGTCCCTTCTGCACACTCTCACCAGCCATGGGAAAAACATCTCAGTCACATAAAAGTGGGCAAAGACATGCACAGGCAATTGGCAGGGGGAAAAACACACACACATCAGGACATCACGAGGATTTCCGCACGCCTTTAGCTCCACGCCTCACCGCTCTTTGCTGCGCGTGGGAAGAGGCGAACGCGGGACCCAGGTGGCTGGGTGCACAGGGCACAGAGGCCGAGCCACATTGCGGGAGGACTACAACTCCCAGCATGCCCCACGCCTTCCCAGCAGGCCGCGGCGCCCTCTCCCCCTCCCGCCCGAGAGCCGGAAGTTCCCGACGTGCCTCGCGGCGGCGGCCAACCGCCGGATTTGAATCGCGGCTCCGCTCGGGGCGGCGGCGGCGGCGGGATGGGTGCCCCGTCGTTGCCCGCGGCCTGGCAGCTCTACCTAAAGGACCACCGCGTCTCCACGTTCAAGAACTGGCCCTTCCTGGAGGGCTGCGCATGCACCCCGGAGCGGGTGAGACCGCGAGGCCTCGGGGCCCAGGCCTCCCCCCCGAGCCCCC